ATTGGCTCCCCTCTGCCTCCCCCCCCCCTCCAGGGCTTAGACTTAGGGTTCTTACTTTCTCTTCGGGGTTTGGAGCCGAGCCAGGCTAGTTTCCTAATAGTCAGCGATACAGAGATTCGCGGAAGAGAACGTGGTCGAAAGTTCAAGTAGTACCGTAACACCGTTGGGTGGCAGAGACCCCAGCGCCACCACCACCAGTGCAGCCCTGCAAGGCCACAGAAGCGTACCCTCAGCTGCGAAACATGCATCGTTCCGCCTCCTTAGAAGGCCTACCTCCCTTTCTTGTTCCTATACTTCCATCTCGGCCTCTCGTTTATCGCTGAACCCTCCTTCATCTCCAGGTGCAAGTCAAACCCTTGATTTTACCCCTTCTGCGTTCTCCTGGTCGAGACTTGTGTTGCAGGGTGAAACACTGGCTTGATTATCGGTGGGCATTTTTCCCTTTGTCCGCGTATTTTGACGCTCCGTGCTGTTTCTATCTAATTCCCTGACTGTGAGTTCCACCTATAGGTCACGTATGCATTCAAACAGTTCCACGACTCTGGATGGATGCCGGAAGCATGGCGCATCCCAAGCAATTTGATAAATGCTGACACGACATTTCTGACCATAAGTAACTCACCCGTGGTGATCAATGAGCATTTCTATACGGTGTGAGACAGGATCGGCGATGAAGCAGGAATGTACCAGAAAACGTGGATGATCTGAAAGAACAGTATCCTGTTACCCATCGCTTACCATGGGTCAGAAGTGTCCCAAACTCCTACTGGGAAAGATCAGACCCTGTAGACTTACCTTGATCACAGCTCCATGTATGCACTAGTGGTGTTCCAACGGTGATAGCGCTTGAAGAGCACTGATCGGGATGAGGCGTGACAACATAGCGACATTTCATCGCTTGTGTCAACTCCAAAGAGGGTTCCTTGCTTCTGAACGTGCAGCATAAAAGGTAAGGAAGTATGAAGGAATAGGTGGCATTGACTGTGCCCCGTTCTCAGAGGTACAGGTCCCTACCCGCTCAGAACGGCCTCAGTGACCAACGTGGTAACTCCCTGTGCTCTTTTGGGATTTTTTGCCGTCTTCGTCTTGTCCGGATAGAAACATCGGATCTCGAACGAATGATCGTTAGCGGTTGCGAATCGCCGATCGAACTGTAGTACCGCTCGGGATGACACCACAAATCCTCGAGATTTATTTTGCCTAAATCAGAATGTTGAGGCCTACGTACTCAGTGGTTTGGCTTCTGGAATGTCAGAACTCAAACATTACGGGCGCACCCATAACTTCTATACATAGATTCAACAGGTTTGCTCATCTGGTGAAGGCTTAATGTTTAACAATGGAAGCCATACGGGAGCATGAAATCCCTGGCTGAAAATCTGGTTGGACTCAATAAAAGACGCTTATAGCAAAACTACAGGCGCGCAATTGCCAGATTAATCGCGCGTGAATATATCCTTTTCATTGAAATGGGACTCAGCTTAAGCAGGCAGGCAGTAACTGCAAGGGGAAAACGGTCATTTTAAGTTTTCGCTCCGGAGATATCTTCTACTCGTAGGGCTTGAGCCTCTGAAGGATGCCCCTGTTATATTGCGATTAGCCGGCCAATCAAAATACTTGCGCAGATGCATCATGCTTTCAATAAATCCAAGGTTAACCGTCGGATCTGCCACGGTTCTTAGAGTTACGACCCCTTGAGTATCATTAAACCTCGCCATGTTGGGACACACCTCTGAGCCCCCGCTCTCTCAAAAAATCAGGTGCGGTTATCGACGCGAGGAAGTACATATCAATAGTACGGCAAAGATTTCCTCCTACTAAATTTTTTCCAACTCTTCGAAATTTTCTCCTACCCATTTGTTCCACAACTACGACCCCACTTCTTCAAGTACCCCCCCCCCCCAAAATCAAATCAATGGCCCTCCTTGACTAGACGACGGACCGCTGACATTGAGTCAAAGATCTCTGCGAGTCATTACGAATGTTGAAGTATGTAGCACATCTTGGATGGGAAAATCGGGCTGCGGACTGTCAGACCATGGGAGTTATTTTTTCCGTGGCGCACTTGCGTTCTACCCCCTTTGCTGCCTTTTTGGCTTCTAGTTCCATGTTTTCCTCAGTTCAATGCTGTGTTCTTGCCATATAATTTGACCTATATGTGTACTTTTCTACACTAGAAATATGCGTACTCCCCTTACAGTTATTATCAGGCCACACTTTCCATGCGGAGCGATGGTGCGAACATCGAATCGTGAGTCGTCTTGGTTTTTGTTGGAGTTGTCTTCTACAGACGAGCACCCAGGTTCTTGGTGGAAGCCTTCGAAGAAGAGTCGTCCCTGAAAGTGAGTGGATTTGTTTTGCATATTCTAAGATCACGAAGCATCCATTACCTTCAATTTCTTTGTGGTTGAAATTCCTACTTGTACGAAATCCGGCCCACATATAATTTCTGCTCCCATCCACACCTTAAAAAAAGAAATTTTGAAATAACTTCGGTGCCAATACCCCTTACCGGGGCAGTTGGGAAAGCCACGAGTTTAATGGATTCCTTCGAAAAAGATTGACGAGAAGCTGCCTATTTACTGGCTGGATGACTTCAACTAGCATCAAGCAATTGCAAGTGGGTACGGTAGGAGGTTGGAAGCATAGAGTGCGGTTCGATTTCCTCGCCTGGGACTGTAGTTCTGCTCCTAACTAGCACCCTTATTATGACCACCCATGTTGTTTGTTTATTTGGCGAGAATTTGAAGAAATCCTTGATTACCTCATTCTGTGGGAATTGTGAAGGTATGACAGCTCACGAGTTTCATGAGTAAAAATGTTACGGAAAAAAAAATCCAGGGAGAAGGGAATGCTTCGGGTCACCTTGATAAAGCGTGCCTCCACGGACTCCACCAGCTTACCTAAAGTGGGCGGGTGCATCGGCTGGATACCGTACCTCCCACAGCATTAGCCGAGTGCGCGACGCCCACTGTCGCCGCGCGGTAGGTACCCTAGCCGAACCAGTGTTCTTAGATTCTCTATATTTCTTGACTTCCTTGTTCAATATCATGTAGCTAGTTCCGTGGAACTTAGTTTACTATATTGGAGCGCTTCGTTACCCTCCTGTAGACATTTCTTCTGACAATAGGCACAATTAAGAGCACCAAACAAGCACGCGCGTAAAATCGATGGCCATTCTAGAGCCAGATGTGAGCTTATGGAGTCGACAAGAGATGGTGAAGGGCAGTGTTATATAGTTATTTCCAAATAAAAGCGTCTCACCTCTAGCGTATTCGCAGTGTTCTCCCTGAGATAGATTTCTGAAGCCAGCTACAAAATGTTCGAGTGACACATTTTTGTGGAGGTTCTGTAAATAAGCAAAATTCAAAAAAGGCGCTAATTGTCCATAGAAAACCTTCTTTGTCGAAAATCTCTTGGATCAGGATCATGTAGTATAGCACCGCGAAAGAGATCTTTGTACGATTTCCTCCCTCCTCTTCCCGCCCAGACATCCTATTTATCCCTCAGTTCGCTTTAAGCGGGGGAGAGGCACGTGCCGAGCAAATTTTATCCGGTTTGACCCCCTCCTCGTCCTCCCTGACGCTCCCCAAGGATCCTCTACGTCACCCTTCGATGGTTATCAATTACGTGGTTTAATTTAACTTTAACCTAACACACATACAACTCGGTCACTAAAATCTAAGGTTTGTGGAGATGGGGCGGGGAGTGGGACAAAAAATATTTGCTAAGACATAGCATTCAAGAACATATTCCTACACTTCTGTCACTTTTTCACGAGATGACGACCCTTCAAACCACATGCACCCGTCCTCTGATAAACAAGGTTCTACGACCCCTATCACGACTATTCTGCAACCGTGGTCACCCTGCTTCACCCCACTGCCTCCACAGACATCCTCGTGCAACAATTAGTCGAAGGTCAAACACGGCTTCCCGTCTACACCGTGCATTTCGCGGAACACGCTTGATCCTAACTTCAATGAGTTTTTTGCCAAATAATGAGTCCAAGAACTTACCTGGAACGCCAGTTCGTCGTTGCCACTTATTCGAACAATTTCGTCACGATTGATGTGATCTCCGATGCCCAACGTTAGAATGGTGACTCCTGCGATAGAAAAGCGGTAGAAAACTTTCTTCAACTGGTTGCTAGGCCATTTATAGCATTTAGTCATTCTAGGGACGGAGGTAGCGCAGAGGTATGTAGCGCTTCTTATGTACCTCGCTCAGTCAAATCCCGGATCTAATCCTTCCTCGTAGTTTCGGATTTAATTTGTACTAGACTTGTCTAAGTTGAAGTCAGTGGAAATAGTAAATACACGTAGCTACGATTCCAAGTAAAAGTCGAATGCGTGGCGCATTCCAAATAGATGACCACCGCCTCATGCTTCACTTGATTGTTGAGCAGCTTTCGATGTAGAAGGAACTCTGGGATTGTCAAGTAGTAAAAGCGAAATGTACTCACCGGCTGCTCGTAGAGCATCTGCCTGCTGGTGCTGGATTGTCCTGCGAATGCCCGTCGGTAACCACTACAGCCACCTGAATAAATAGAAAAATAGCTTCCGAATAAACATTAAGACATTAAACATCGATAATATTAAACGTTAGACTTTCGAATAAACATTATTGTAAAAAAGAAGGGAACTCTTGATCGACTGCCAATTCCAAAACTCGAATTGAACCTCCACTTTTTTGCTCTCTTCTGCTTCCGCTATGGCAGTTGAAGGCCCATTCTTCAGTAGCCGAAGCGGGTTAACGTGGGTTTCAATATAAAGCAGAAGGCGCTCACTGACTCGCCAATGAAGAAAAAAGAAAAGAAAACGCCTATTCTACTCATGGAAGATCCTACAGTTACCTGACAAGCAGTCTATGAGACAGTGAGCATCGAAGCTAGAGAGCATAGAGGACGAGTTAGACGCAGACACTAAGGCGTTCGCAACGATGAGCATGCATCGATGCTAGGATGTGCTGTAAAGCCCTACGGTTAGACCCCTACACCCCTAGTGTACGTTTCACTTGCTAAATGCTACGTCTGCGGTGATAGGTCTATTCACCTCGTTCAGTGGAGGTAATGTCAGATAGGACTAGTTGCAGAAAGCCACTATCAAAAAAGCAGGGTCAACCGTTGCGTTCCCTCTTTTCCACCTCCCCCCTACCCCCCAGTTTGTCTCGACGCGACTCCCACTACTGCCATCATCCTCAAGATGGCCCCCAAAACCACCCTACCCCGACCACCACCATAGATTCGGCAAATTCACCAATTTTGTATAATTAACGCTACTTCCTTGAAACTTTCACCAAAATTATCAGAAATCCGTCGGAAAGTACCCCTTTTCACGATTCCAGTTCGCATTTTTCCCAGAGATAATGGAACCTTACTCAACCCCAAATGCGACCTCTCTCGCTTCCCAAAATCACGAATACGACGTCGTCATTCGAGCAGTGGAACGGACGGGTGACCGTGATCAGAACTTGACGGCGCTATCGCAAGATACGGGGCATGTGGTGGCGTGCATTTCCAAACCGCGTGAAAC